GACATGTTTCTTGTAACCCCTAGCAGGCTTCGCCGATTCTTGGGTCCGTGATCTGGGGTTCGGAGGCCGCTCTTTGTTCCAGACCTTTTCCCAGGATGGTTGCGACATAGATTCACACCGCTTTGAACCCCTTGAACCACAACTTCGCTTGGAATTTACGCAGGGAAATCGAATCATTCCGTTGGGTCTGGGTGGTGGTGCGAGAAGTGGTTTTCAACTACCTATAATTTACAGAGTATGGTTTCCCGCAGTTTGACTCCATCAGGCCACATTTCTACGCCAGTGTGGAATGGGAACCCTGGGTCGATAGCCGATCTGACCTTTTGGTTTCCCCTGTTGAGTTGTTTTCTCACTTCCTCAGTGCATGGACTTTAGTCACTTTTTGCGTTTACCATGGCCTTTTCCCCAACCGCATCCGCTGATGGTTGGAGGCCCAGCGACTTTTTTGTGTTTTTCTTCATGGGGGGGGTCTTCGGTTGGTGTTTTCTAGCGAGGAAAGAGAGACCGACGCCCTTGGGGTCACCGCGTCCCCGATTCACTAACCACGTCTCACGTCCCACGTCCTCGCGCGCGCGCAAGTCTTTCTGAGGCATCGGTAAGGGCCAGGTGCGAGGCTTCGTGCAGTTGATGCGCTCAGACCTGGACCTGGCCACCAAGCAGCTCGGTTTCTCATTTCTCGTGTTTCGTTCTTGTTTATTTTGTTTTTCTTGCTTTCTTCTTTTTTTGGGGGGGGGATGTGTTTGTTTCCTTCTTCTTCTTTTCTTGGGGTGGGGTGGGGCGATGCTTCAAATATGCCAAGACTCCCAGGTCGTCCGGTTTTCGTTTTCTGGCCCAGAGGGCTCTTGACTTCCTAGAATGATCCGAGTTGATCGCGAGCCCACCCGGGGGGACGTTAAGAGCTCACCTCGTTTTTTTTATTTTTCTGTTTTTAACTTTTTTCTCGAGGTTTGTTTGTTTGTTTGGTTTTCCCCTGTGTTTTTTGTGTTTTTCAGGGAAAATTGCAGAATGATGCCATCCCCCAACGTAAAGAACAAGAAACGGTGTGGTTTCAACCACGTGGCGGCTTTTCCAAGTGGTGCGACATGGATTTTGCAACCACCCACAGTATTGCAAGGGGAAGAAGTTGAAACCCTGAGTTCATGTTGACTTTAGAGTCACTTTTGGGCATATCATTTGAGTGGCGAAGAAAGAGTTTGGTGCTTTTCTTGGCAAGTCCACTCAGGAAATAAGACCAGAACACTTCCCAACCTACAGTGCGATGCCATAGTTTGGTGGTTGAGTGTGGTTGGCTGACTTGCAATATGGTAGGGGCAGCCACCCGAGTGGCCGTGACCTGTTTGAGGTATTTGATGATGTCTTATGGGTGGCGCGCCAATTTGTTGGAAGCGGACCCTCAAACAGTGGCAGTGGCGTCCTTTTGGTTTTTCCTTTAAGGAAACACAGCCATGGCTAGACGTCTAATAGAGAACACTTTGGAACCCTATTGTTAGAAACCATTTGGGGTCACCTTTTCTTCATTCGGAGTCCTCCTATGCGAGTTTGTCTCAACAGGATTCGGAGCCCCCCGAAGCGGCAACGATGTCCCTTTCGTTTCCCTTAAAAGCCAACAAAGCGGGAGTTCCGAAAACAAAGGCATAACCGTTTCCATATTCTGCATATGTCCTCACAGTGATTTGCACACACATATATATATATATACATACAAATGCATATACGCACATGGTTTATGTATGTGTAACACGTATATATGCACATATGTATATGCGTAGTGTGCTATATGAATACGCATATTATATATATATATATATGTGGTGTTGCATGGGTGTCTTGATAATCTTGGGTTCCCTTTTTGTGTTTGTGTTCATGTTGGTTGAACCCAGGAAGACTGAGGAATCCCATGAAGGGCCCCTTTGTTTGACGCATGTTGATCAGTTTCTGGAATCAGCGGTGAAGGAATGAAAAGGTTCCGGGGATCAAAACCAGGAAACCACGGAGGATGGATGGGCATTCGCGCAGAGCTCCCAATTCGGCCACCCAAAATCCAACGGAAAACTGTGAGTTGCCAATCCACTGAAACGAGCCTCAATCAAATCGACCTGATCTAACCTTTTGAGTTGCCCTATTTGTTCCAGTAGCGGTCCCACAAGCTTCGTCTGAAAACTACGCAGGGACTTTGAGAAGCACTTATATAAGGGCGTCTTTAATGGTCAATGGCCCCAAACAGTCACTACTTGGGTGTTCGGCCAGAAAGTTGTGGCAAACCTAGTTGATGCCCCACTTGTAAGTCCCACGTTCAGTGAGGTTAATCTGGTATTGGCGAGTTACAACCCAGCTGGGTACTTTGGCCGAACATCATAATGCTCACACTATGGGGCTGCAATTGATCTTGTTGACTGAATCGCCTCGCAGAGCTTTTGGTTTCACACATGGCTTCTCCAATAAATCTTTGGTGCATTTTGCTTGGATGTTAGGACTTTAACTTTTTGCCAGCCATTAAATACCACTAAAAGTTAAAAAATAGCAGGGGAGCAGAAAGCAACCGAGAAATGTACAACAGGTGATCGACCTTTTGCTCGGGGCTTTGAGCAACCCAGTTTCAGGGGTGGTAGCTGGTTTGGTTTTCGTTTTTTTTGCGCATTGGCTTGCACGAGGAACGGGTTCATGGAGGCGCGGGCCGCGACCATCTTAGCTCGCGATGGAATTTTGCGCCACGCCCCTGGGGCGTGGGCTCCATATTTCTACTCCCGCTTTAAGGGGTGGTTGAAGCAACACAATTTTTGGGATGCCGCTTTTGCGGGGAATCTATCACTACTGTTGTGTTTGTAGATGAAATCCAGGGGACGATAGAGGCAAATGGAGGTTTTGGAGAACATTTTGAGAGTGTCTCGCTAGAATGGACCCAGTTTGTCTCAGCCTCCTTCAATCTTCAATCTTCAATGGCTAGGGCACGAAAAAAAGCAAATGGTTCGGAAAGGAGACTTGTTCGAAGGGTGCGTCCTTTCGGTGATGTTTTGCAGGCACATCTTTTGATCTCTATGGCTTCCTGAACGTCTGGTGAGTTGCCGCCCAAAAAGAAAGTGCCTTTCTTCGGGTCACCCTTACTATTGGTGGGGTTGGATTGGTTTCAATTTGGGTTTGAAGCCCTGGTTCTTGTATTCCCTATATAACCACCAACACCAAGCCTTTGGGGCCGGGAATTTTCGATGTTGAGACAAGGCCATACTGTGGATGCGAAATCCGCTTGTCGGCGCCACTAGGGAAGCATGATTTCCCTGGACATGCCAACAAACACTGACTTCCCATGGTTTCCAAGTGGCGCACCCATGGTGTGGCAGAGTCAGTTAAAATACTATATTTTCTATGCAGGGCCAGGTTGTTAGTTCCATTTTGACCCGCGACACAATTCGGAACGGCGACATTTCGGAGCCCGAAATCAACCCATCGAGTATTGAACTGAGCGCCCTTTTGCATTCTTGTTTGATTGGGGTCTCCTCTAAAAATATTTATTTGGTGCATTTTGCCTGGATGTTAGGGCTTTAATTGTTTGCCAACTCATGGTTTTCCCATTAAACCACTTAAAGTTAAACTTTTAGCAGGGGAGCCTTTCGAAAGCAACCGAGTTTTATATGTTAAACTAAATATGGAACAGTCGTTGTTTACATGTCAGACATCCAGTCTGAAGCCGAGTGCACGGAGCTCCTTTTCGTGGCTCGTGGCTGAACCATGTTGTTTGCAAGGGTTCATGGCTTTTCCAGACTGTGGGTGGACCAAATCCTGCACCTCCTTGAAAAAAACAAAACAAACGTGAAATGATAATTCCCCTGCAGATACACACAATTGCGGTTTCCCATAAATTCAGACTGGTGCCGGATTTTTCGTCCACCAACAGCACAACGGGTGATCGGCCTTTTGCTCAGGGCTAGCAAGCCAGAAGGATGGCCAACACACAAAGGTACAGTTTTTGAGAGATGCCGCATGAACATTTTCCTCAAGTTTGGCTCAGTCATCCCTTTTACTCAGGACACATTCACCGGGAACGGTGCCATCTACTAACCTCACTTGCCGACCTTTTCACCTTTTAGTTTCCCCTTGCTTCATTTGAGTGGCTCCTTTTTTGCCGACCTGTTGACGTTTTGGTTGCCCCTTCCGGCATTTTGAGCGGCCCCAGTTTGTTTAAAGGTGAACATCACCAAAAAATTCCCGGGCCCCAGCCCTGGCTTGCGGGGCTTTTTGCGTGTCCCGCGCGGCCTCGGCGGCCTCCGGCGGCCTCCGCGGGCGCAGCCAGGCCTTGAGGCTGACGATCAGCCCCAAGCGCTTACTGCGCTTCGTGAAGCACGGGGGCGTCACCAGGGTGGCGCAGAGCTCAGAGGTTTCGGCGAGCCCAGAGGCGGCAGAGGCGACATGTTCAGAAGGCTCCGTGTTTTTTTTTTTTTCTGTTGACCTGAGATGTGGGCTCTGGCGAGGGGCTCCATGGCCAAAAAACAAAATGGTTGACCTGGTCTGGGTAATGTGGGGGTGGATGGGGGGCTCTGGTGAATATATGTGGCGTAATATGTTGACCTGTTTGTTTGTTGTCAACCCTGCCAGGTTGTCAATAGTTGTCCCGGTGTCCCTGGGTGAAATGTGGGCAATCGCTTGTTGAGGGGCCCCCACCCCCTATGAATGAACGGTTGACGAATAGGGGGTCAACGTTACCCCAAATTTTACGGCTTTGGGTTTGGTGCCTTCTCGGGGATTCGTCAGTTATAGATGACCCACAAGTTCGAAAGGACATATGAGGTACCAAGGGACCCTCTGGTCTTTCCGCACCACGCAAGCGAGACGTTTCCCGTGAATCATGGCATTTGACAAAGGGCGCTCACAACTCGAGTTTGTGAGGCAGACGTCTCGGAAATCGACACCCGCCAGAATCTAGAAGATGAATTGACTTCAACTTATTTTATGTGCAAAGTGTGGGTCTTTCCACCGTTGCTCCCGGCCTCCCGCCCAGGTTCGTCATAGGTGTCCTTTTGGGTTGTTTGCTTGAAAACAGACGCCTACTGTGGATGGACAAAATCCTGCACCACTTAGAAACCATGGGGCATAGTTGTCTGTTGGCATTTACAGGGGAATCGAATCATTGGGTTTCTGAATGGTGGTGCAAGACTCGCGGGTTTCGCCACCATCCACAGTATGAGCCATCTAGAAAACATGAACCCCTCCTTCCATTCGCTTTGGAATCTATTTGAGCTTCCCCTGTTGGTCTTAGGGATTCATCTCTGGATATATTTTTTTCCTCGCGTGGATCCAGCGGCCAGCGCCTGGCCGCGAGTGAGGTGCTGTGGTTGGAGCGCGCCTTGGGGGAGTCCTCCAGCCCGGAGCTGGAGACGTTCTTGGAGAACTCCCTGAAGTCCCTCCGCGCCTCGACGTGAAAACACCCCGCGGTGTGGGCCAAGTAGTTAAAAGCTTTATAGCCAATAGGCCGATGTTCTATAGAGGCGACGGGAAACTCAGTGGTTCAAAGCGAATCGACCGGATCTGGCCTGAAACGGTTTTCCCCCTTTTCGGGAACTAGTTTTAGTAGAGGTGCCAAAAGGTGATCACCTTTTATTTGCAGGTCCTTTGGGCAAGTGAGGAAAACAACACCCCGCGGTGTGGGGGCCAAAGGGTTAAAAGCCTTATGACCAATAGGCCGATGTTCTATTACTAGAGGAAGCGGTTGGTTTGTAAAATGAAGTTTTCCAATGAATAGGCCGAGGTTGAATTCGTAAGGAAAGCGATGAGTTGGTCCTTTGGATTGGTCTGGATTGGGATTTGAAGCTCTTGATTGGGACTGAGAGACCGATTCAAAAGGCGGGATCCAGCTTGCTGTTCGAACCCACGAAACGGGTCATCCGACATGGGGTCGCCTTGTTTTGCAGGAATCATCAAAAGGGTGGTGTCCATTTGGGATGCCCTTTCAATCAAAAATCAACCACACGAAAACCACACCCCTCTGCGAATTGACGCGCGTTGCTCCGGCTCCCTTGCTCAGGCAGGGTTGACGCCGGTGTTTCACCACCTCACTTCCTGAGTTCCTGGACCGTCAACTTTTTGGGTTTAGACCATTTGGTGGCAAGTTCCTGGGCCTTTTTTGTTTCTTCAAAAAATAAGCCGCATATTCACCAGCCCTGAGGGTCATGACCCCTCCAATTGCACCGCAAATGGAGAACCCGGGGCCCAATGAAAAACCATCGAGACCCTTAGGGCTTGCTGTTTACCTCTAAATGGCAACCAACCCCAAAAATGAAAGTCCAAGCACTCAGGGAGTGAGGACTGAAGTAGCCCCCCCACCGGCGCCCACTGGATCCGAGGCATGCTGAACCTCCGCGCCATGGACCAGTCCTCCGCTCAGAGCCTGGTGGAGCTGATTCAGCGTCTCCGCCAGCGGCTCCAGGCGCCCCGGACCCCGGCTTGACCCGAAAAATTCTGGGCCCCGCGAACCATGACCTTGACCCACAGGTCTTCAGAAGCACATGAAACATGGGAAACCTTTTGGCCCTTTTGGCTTGAGAGTTGAAGGAAACCAAAGGGTTGCACTTCCGCCCGATGCAAGTTGCAACGTGGCTTTGCGTGCACCGCCGATCTGCCAGTCAAACTCGGGCCCGGGACCCGTTTTGTATGCGAGAACCTCTCGGGATTTCCATATCAGGATCACAGGAAGAGCTCCGTTTCTTTCCGCGGCGAAAATGGCCATGGAAGCTCCATTGAAGTTGACCCTGTCGGGCGCCAATGGCCAGGAGGTTTGCTTGTCTGTGCCAGCCAACATCCTCGGCAGTGAGCTGCTTCGGCGGTTGCGGCCCCAGCTGCCGCCGAAGCCCGGCTGCGGGTTGTGCCTGAGCTTCGGTGGTGTCCGGCTGCTACCCGAGCAAACTCTGCAAGAGCAGGGCCTTTCGAGCTCGGCCGGCATGTTTACCTACACGCAGACCTGCCTGACAAAGGTGTACAGCGCGCTGAAGTTTCCGGCTGGGAGAAACAGTCCGGACCTGGAAGGCGTCACGAAGCTGACTTGGGATTCGGGCCGGCACTTGGAAGCTATTTTGCCAGGCACGCTCCACTGCTTGACTTTTGGCAACAGCTTCGACCAAAGCTTGGATGGATTGACTTTACCTGAAAGCCTGCGGAGCCTATCTTTTGGGGACATGTTCGACCAAAGCTTGCACGGATCGACTTTACCGGAAGGCATCCGGAGCCTATGTTTTGGGAACAAATTCAATCAAAGCTTGCACGGAGTGACTTTGCCAGCCAGTCTGCAGAGCCTGTCTGTTGGTCGTGAGTTCAACCAAAGCTTAGAAGGGGTGACTTTGCCAGAAAGCCTGCAGAGTGTGACTTTTGGGAACAAATTCGACCAAAGCTTGGACGGAGTGACTTGGCCAGAAGGCCTGCAGAGCCTGAGTTTTGGTCGTCGATTCAGCGGAGGGACCTTGCCAGAGAATCTGCGCAACCTGACATTTGGCGCTGAATTCAACCAAAGCTTGGACGGAGTGACTTTGCCACAAGGCCTGCAAAGCCTGACTTTTGGCGATGCATTTAATCAAAGGTTGGACGGAGTGACTTTTCCAGAGAACCTGCAGAGCCTGACTTTTGGATGGGCTTTTAACCAAAGCTTGGACGGAGTGACTTTGCCAGAAAGCATGCAGAGCCTGACTTTCGGTCGTGGATTCAGCGGAGTGACTTTTCCAGGTAGCCTGCAAAGCCTGACTCTTGGACAGAATTTCCACACAAGCTTGGACGGAGTGACTTTGCCTGCAAGTCTTCAGAGCTTGACTTTTGGGTTTGAATTCAACCAAAGCTTGGACGGAATGATTTTTCCGGGCAGCTTGGAGACCCTGTCTTTCGGGAACAGATTCAACCAAAGATTGGACGGAGTGACTTTTCCAGAAAGCCTGCAGAGCCTGACTTTCAGCGAAGAGTTTAGCCAAAGGTTGGATGGAGTGACTATGCCAGGTAGCCTGAAGAGCCTTTTTTTGGGGTTCAACCAAAACTTGGACGGAGTTACTTTGCCAGAAAGCCTGCAGAGCTTGACTTTCGGGAGCAGATACAACCGCAGCTTGGACAGCGTGACTATGCCAGGCAGCCTGCAGAGCCTGACTTTCGGCGAAGAATTCAACCAAAGGTTGGACGGAGTGACTATGCCAGGCAAGCTGCAGAACCTCACTTTTGGGGTGGACTTCAACCAATGCTTGGACGGAGTGACTTTGCCAGCGAACCTGCAGAGCCTGACTTTCGGCGCGTCATTCAATCAAAGCTTGGACGGAGTGACTCTTCCAGAGAACCTGCAGAGCCTGACTTTTGGATGGGCTTTCAACCAACACCTGGACGGAGTTACTCTGCCAAAAAGCCTACAGAGCCTGAGAATGGGGGACAAATTCAACCAAAGCTTGGTCGGAGTGGCTTTGCCAGCCAGTCTGCAGAGCCTGACTTTTGGTCGTGGATTCAACCAAAGCTTGGAAGGGGTGACATTCCCAGAAAGCCTGCAGAGTGTGACTTTTGGGCTTGACTTCAACCAAACCTTGGACGGACTGAAGTTTGCGGGTAGTCTGAAGCAATTGCAGGATGGCTGCGTATGCCTTGTCAGTGTTTGATCATGGTTGTGTTCAATTGACATCGTCCGGTTCGCATTGAACTGCGTTTCACCGCTTGGGGAAGCCCCTGTGGGCGGCGACTCGCGGATGGAAAAAAGGCGGCGCTTCATTGATTTCTCCAAGTGTTAGCTTCTTACTGATTGGTTGGGAGCCCGGTCGTGTGGTTACGGGGTGGCTTCCCATTTACCCCCTACAAGAACCAGGTTCAAATCCTCAAGCCACCAATCCAATCTACCAACCAAGAGGAACCTGAAAATATGGCTTCATAAGGCTTCAAGGCCTTGTTGAAGAAACAGGGGGGAGAGGTGTGGAGGGTAGTGGTGGGACACCCTTGCTTACTTTCGGAAATAAAAGGAGAAGTGTACTTTCACCCTGGTCTCATTGGTCTCTAAACAGCATATGTTTTCGAATTTTTCTTAGAAGACAACAGGGGATGGCTTGAAAACGAGTTTGGTCATCGGTCTCTGAAGAGCATCTGTTTTGAATTTCCCGCAGACAAACGGGGATGGGTTCTATCTTGTCTCCCGGGACCCCTAGTTAGCCCGTTGGGTTTTTTCCCGCTGTCCGCCTTAACGACCCGGTTCCAGCGGATCGCATCGCAGGTCGGGCGCAAGGGGGCGGACAGCGCGGCCAAAGCGGCGGTTCCCGCCGCGCCGAGGACCCCGCCCCAGGCGGCGCCACGGACGCCGCCGAAAAGGAACACAGGCGGCCGGCGCGAACCGAAAGCTAGGGGTACTTCCACTTGCTGAAGAGTCTCTGGAACCCACAGCGTCTCCTTCCGAAAGGGGTCAGAACCCCTTGACTTTGGGCAATGTGACCAACCATTTTTAGTCAACAGGATTGAGGCTCCAGGTACTTCCGTTTGCTGAGGCGTGAAAAGATTCCATTGCGAGTACACCCACAAGAACCAGGGGTTCAAATCCAAACCAACCAACCACTTCCATTTGCGACAGGATTGTTTTTTGTTGATCGGTTGTTTGTCTATTTTTCGGCTTTGGCCTCCTTGGGTCAAGGTCTTGGATTTACAATCAAGCAACAAGAAGAGGCGCCTGGGCGCTTTATTCACATGCGGGTTTGGGCGTTTTGGGTAGGCTAGATATGGAACAGGATCACTAAAATATGCAGGTCTCATTGGGTTTCAGTTGATGTCCCGGACGAAAGCAACACGGGACACTCCGTGGATTCCCTTTTGAACACCTGATAGGGCATTTGGGAAAACAGAGAAGAAAAAGAGAAGAGAAAGAGAAGAGACACAGAAGAGAAAGAAAAATCATTTAAAGGCACAAAGACCCCTCATACTCGCAGACCCACCAGGCCCACCGCCCCGCAACCGGGCGCCGGTGATCCGCGTGGATCGAGCGGAGCGCGAGCCGCGCGCAACAGGCGACGAGGGTTGGGTCCGATTGCGCAGCAAGCCCAGGTGGGCAAGTGGGTTTCCAGTCTCACTCCATTTGCTTAGATTGGTTTTGTTTTTTTTTTCGGTTCCCAACACCCACAACACCTCAAGGGTTCAAATCCAAAGCAACTAGTTCCATTTGCTGAAACGTGGTTTACTTGTGGCTTTGCTTGTGAGCTCGAATCTTCAGTGCGGATTGCTCTCCCATTTGCTGAGAATAGGTTTGTCAGCTTCCCTTGTCGGTTTGAAGGCAATCGCTTTCACTGGACATGTTGCTCATTTTTTCCCGGGGGCTCACTCCCTGAGTTCTTCGAGATGTAGGACTTGAGGTTAGAGTTGATCTCAGCTCACCGGTTCGGGGGTAGTGGTGAGCTCGCTATGTAGATGCCGTTTGCGGTTTGTTTCCTATTTTCTCACTATCGGACATGGAAGGTTGGAAGTCTGGGAGAGACATTGCAGATGTTTGCCTTCCCACCAAGAAACATGGAAGTTTTGCAAGTGCACCCTTATAAGAGGGCTTGACTTTGGGAGGGGTTGTTGGCTTGTCTTGGCTGTGTGAACATACCTAAACGCAAACAAAACCAGCAAAGCCTTCTCTAACGTTGGAGACAATACGCCAGAGCCTGGTCGCAATTCGCCGAACAATCTGCCAATTTTGGGAGATTTCTCGCAACACCAATGAGAGTTCATTGTAAAGAAGCTAGGGCTGGTTTGGCTGGCGCTTGCTTGCTTGCTTGCTTGCCTGCTTGCTTGCTTGCCTGCTTGCTTCGTTGCTTGATTGGTTCGTTTCTTAGCACATTGAACAAAACTGTGTCCCCCGAAGCCCGCGAGGCGAGCTGAAGCCGCCCGCTTCGCCCGTTTCCGCGGCGGCGGTGCCCTTTGCGCCACCGCTGGGGGCGCAGCCCAAGACGCCGCCGCTGAGGTGGACGGAGCCGAAGGATGCGAAGCCGCTGCTCTTCGGGGAGAAGTCGCCCAAGGCAAGGGAATTTACCTCGACTGCTATTGGGTCGGATCGTGGAACCTGGTGCGGGAGCACAAATAAGCCTTAATACGGCCTTAGTAAGGCTAGGTCCCCCAGCTAGGTGCCCTTTCTCACCGTTCTTTTTTGGGGGCCCTACAGAAAAAAGGGCACCCTTATTCTTGACTGTCTTCTTTTCTTGACTGCTATTGGGTTGGATCTTTAGACTTTGACTTTTTGGTTGAAATCAAGGGGTTTTCCGCTAAACCCCCAAAAAGTTAAGCTTTTTGCAGGGGAGCCAACAGCAACCAAGCTACTACTAATTTTGTCCCTGTTGAGGAGATCGCTTTCACGGCTGGAAGATATGTCGCCTCATTTATCCCAGGGGGCGCGGCACACAAAGCAAATGGAGGAGTAAGATTCACACCTGGGAAAAATGCAAATAAAAGGAAACGCAAATGGACGAAAAAACAAATGGGAAGAATAAGCAAATGGAAGAGTGTTTTCTTTTTTTTCTGGCACTCCTGCAGGCCTTGCTCTTCCAGGCTCCGGCGTTCAAGGCTGCACCGGGCGAAAAAGCTGAAGTTCAGAAGGCGGGCAAAACTGGGCCAGACCCATTTACCTGATTGTCTTTCTTTTTTTTGCATGGTTTTCTTCTATTTTGCTAAATGATATTTGTTACTTTCTCCTGTTGGTTTTGCAAAATTGCCATGGTTGACCTATATTTTTGGTTTTTCGGTTCCCCTACTACAATAGACTACAGAATAAAGGGTACTCTTATTCTAACTTTTCTACTGGAGGACCTAGTATTTGTTACTTTCCCCTGTTGGTTTTGCAAAATGGCCAAGGCTGACCTATTTTTGGTTTACTCTCTTCATCAGTTTCTGGACTTTTGTACTGTTTGGGGAAGATCGTTTTGGGAAGTAAATGCAAAAGTCTGCTTACCTTTTTGGGCCCATCCACTGAGGAAGTGAGTCCATTGGTTTGTAGGTAACCAAGCTGCTGTTTGCTGAAATGACTATTTTACTATTTCGCACTTTCCCTAGTTGGATGTAAAGGGAATCCATGCGAGGTCTGGAAAGATCTTTCACGTCTGGAAAGATCATCTCATTTTTTTGCGTGAAAGCAAATGGAAGCTTCGTAGGCAACCAAGGGCTTGCCGCCACCCGATTAAAAACCCGAAAGACGACTTGCTGGTGACCAGAACGGGCAACTCCCCGCAGGTGCTTTTCCAGGCTCCGGCATCGAAAGCACCACCCGAGGGACGGGCTGAAGTTCAGAAGGCGGGGGTCAGATGGCCGGGGGAGTTTAAGTGCTTCCATTTGGCTGTGGGTCAAAACCAATGGGATCCCATTTTGGGGGTTTTCGGTGCACCACCCATTTTAGAACCTATTTTAGTGGGGATTGGGATGTTCGCTGGGGGTACGCATTTGCTTAAGATCTTCCATTTGATTAATTTAACAACATTTTATACTTACTGGAAGTAGTATAATTGTTTCCAAGGGGCTTAAGCAAATGGAAGAGATGAGCGCGAAGTTTTGTTTTAGGAATTGAACCTATTGTCCTTTTGGCTTCCCTTTTAAAACCATCAACAAAGGGGGACCCTCGAAAACCCGATTTCATTTGTTGTCATTTGTTCCAGGGGGCTTATAGGCAAATGGGTGATTGGGAATGCCTGTCATAGCAACGGATTCGAGCAGCGAATGCCACATGTGTTCGGACATGACACTTCCTAATGGCCTGGCGCGTATGTACTTATTGATTAGTACGTCTAGATAAATAGCAAGCCAGTTCACTTGTGGTGAGCACAGTGGAGGTATCTTCTTTCAAGGCTTCCACTACCCCCAAACCACTCATTACCCCCAGGCTAATCTGAGGTATGTACCCTTCATGTAGTGGCTGTGTAACTTTTGGGGGTAGCTTCGGTCTGTGGGTGGGAACCATACAAGAACCCTCACAATTAGGTCGTTGGTTTGTTGGAGGTGAGCTCTGTGATCGCGCTGGATGAAGCGGTGGCTCCGCTGCAAGAACCAGCCTGGCCGTTTCCCAAACCTATTGGTGGTTATTGGGTTACCAACAAAATCCACAATAACCAGAAGTTCAAAACCAAACCCAGACCAATCCAAACCACCAACCAAGGGTTGCCTGATTAAAGTCAGCTACCAAAGAGAGTCAGGTTCTTCCTAAGTTTGGAGTTTCGGGACTTGTTTTCCGCAAGAACCAGGGGTTCAAATCCAAATCCAATCCAAACCACAAACTAAAAGAAAAAAAGGTGAGCAACGGCCCCCTACCGACATGGATAGATTTAACTACCCTCCCGCCCTATTGATAGCAGGGTTTACCCATGTGATGAATTCCCACTAAAAGGGACACCCTCCTGGAAATCAACCAGGGGTTTATTAATCCGACGTTCCCATTGCACCTCTAGTTTTCGTGTATGTTTTGTCTTCTTTAATGGGGCTTAGTTGGGGCATTGTTTGGGGGGTGCGGGGTAGGTTGTTTGGCATTCCCCTAAGGCGAGGTCTGACTTAAGCTCAAGATGGTGGACTTTAAAAAAGGGCAAGCAACACGAGGAGAAAAGGGCCCCCGCAAAACAAAAACGAATACAGGATGGTTCCCCCTGTTCCGACTTGTCGTCTATTATTTGTTTTGGTTGTGCGCTATGTGCTTGGGTTTGTGTTTGGTTGCCTAGCGCTTGCCATTTTGACACCAAAGAGCCATTTAGGCTATTCGGGTCGATGGTTTGAGAGTGGATTACTTCCAGTTGCTCAATAATTTCTTTTATGTCCCCATTAGTTTAGAAAGGAATCTATCACAAATGGAGGTCATTCTTCAGGCATCAAGGTTGCTGGGCCTTAAGCCAACCAACAAGTCTTCATTGCCCAGAAGTTCCTCCATTTTGGGTTTGGATCAATTTCGGTAGTGAAAGTTTGGTTACTTTTTGGACAATGCACTCGATCGGAAGTGAGCTAAACCCGGGATGGGTTGTTGAACAGCGAGGAAGGAAAGTGCCAGTTCATCTACCAAACATGCTGCTCGTTCCTTTCTAGGGGTTGATTCCCATTCTGTTCAACCATCATTATTATCAATAACCAGCAGTTTTGCTGGGTTTCTGAAGGTTTTCTAGGAAGAAGGATTCCTGGAAAGAATGGGGCAGGTACCCCTAGAAAAGGGTCGAGTGGTGCCACTGTCTTTTGTTTTTGTCCACTGTGGAAGTGAGGTGGCCACACCGGTGCATCGATCGCATTCCGCCATCCAAGCAGAGACTTGCCCAAAGATGGATTTGTTGGGCTGTTCAAAATGAGAAGCCACGTTCCGGAAGGGGAAATCGAGGACACTGTGGATCTTGTGTGGGGAGTAGCCCAGAGCCCAGGTGTTCAAACAAATCTTGCCCAACCCTAAGATGTTGTCCGGAGAAGGCCATATCAAGTCTTTAACCCTGGTCCTGAGTTCGGGCCTTTCTGGCGTTATGTGTCGTCCTTTGAATCTACTTTTGACATCAAGGCATGAAGAGATGGAGGAGGAATGAGGAAACGAAAAGACTCTTTCTGTCATAGCGGTTCATCTCTGAGATTGATGGTGTACGAAAGGAAAAGGAAAGGTTCACCGCTAGCCCGGACGTAGGAAAGGGATGAGGGTAAACTTCTGGTCCAGGATTTCACAGAACCGCCTATAACCAGAAGCCATGTGTCTCTTCTTGGCTGGCCGCCTCATCTCTGTTCTTTGTCACATCCTTCCTCCACATCCTCTCGCTCCCTTTGTTTGCGAAGAAGCAGGATGTGGGAAGCAGAAAGAGAATGATGGATGGGTCCCCCCAGTCCCCTGCTCTGAGCTTCTGGCCTTTAAGCTTTCTGAATGGTAAACAGAAAGTTTCGACTTCTGAGGCAAATCTCAGCTTCGGCTTGAGTCCCTCCGAAAGCCATACCCGAAAATGCGCTTGACCTGGGGATGGGGGTGGGTTGTGGACATACGGTATACAGCTCACGGCCCTGGACTCCATATCTCGATCGGAAGTGAGACAAGCATCCCTCCAAAACCCGGTCAAGGGGCAGGGTAGTTAGTAAGTGGGAAACGACCAGCGCGTGGGAGTCTTACGACCATGGCTTTTTGCCCACTTGCGTGAGGTGCCCCTGCCCATCTAAGTTTGCAGGGGCCCTCACTCCCCATACTGTGGATGGACGAGATTCATTTCGCACCACTGTTCAGAAACCCCGAAATGATGAATTCCCCTGTTCATGCCAACAAACGTTATGCTTCCAACCATGGTTACCATGCTTTCCTTTTGTGGTCACGGATTCGGATTTCGTCCATCCACTGTAGGAATACCTGTAACTGCCCCATACCACGAGGTGCCCAGAGCGCGGCCCAGCTGCCTGGTGCGACCCTCGGCCCGGCCCGAAGCGCCGGCGGCCCCGGCCTCGCCCAAGAGCCGACCCAGCAATGCGCCGCACTTGGCGCCTGGGTGCATCCATAGGTGCCGATAGGCGTGGTTAACTAGGTCGTTTCAGGCCGGAACTGGATAGATCCCACTGGGTTTTAGAGGGGTTGATGGGTTCCACTGGGTCAAACATGGGTTTTCTAGGAATATACCAGACGCCATTTCGCAGCGCCGTTCAGAAACCCTGGAATGATTCGATCTCTCTGCAAATGCCAGCAATGGTTTCAACCGGGATTTCCAAGCGTCGCAGGATTTCGGCCACGCACGGTAGGTGTCCTTTCTAGGTTGGCTTGGCTGGAAATAGATGGCACTGGTTTAGATTGGTATATATGCCCCATTTACCAATGCCATCTATTTTACCAAAATACCTATGCTTACATACCTTTATAAGGTCGCCAGTTGACCCGTAGGTAACTAGCTATGCTTTGTCTGTTTTTACAGTCCGCCGATTCCCTGCTACACAGGTAAATGGAGGACCTTCCGGGTGTTTTTTTCATCGTACGCCTTGGTCTTAGATACCTTATATCGTTGTCTCCAACACTCGATCGGACATGGGTATTACAACAGGGTACCTGGAGCTAAGGGAAGCTTTTCAAATGTGGCTGGTGCTTACTTAGGAGGGAATGTGGGAATGAACCTGGGGAGTCCCTTAAAAGGACACCACAAACGAGTGTCTTTTTCGGGGTCATTCCCTCATTCCCTGCCTATCGCACTAGTAAGAAAAGGGGATTCCTGGCATCGCTTGGCTGGCGAGGTCCTGCTTGCCCAGCCCTCCACGCCGGAGCTGGACGCAAACCCCGTCTCGCCGGAAACGGAGCCGAAGGTTCAGGAGAAGCCGAGCCCGGAGCTGCCACAACAGCCGCCCGTGTCGGGGCCCCGGTTGGTGGAAAGTCGGGGGGTGAGGGGGGCTACCTAGAGTCTCCGGCCCTGAATTCTGGGTAATGGACCCATGTTTAAAAGGGCTTCTGACCCCATAGGTTTTTGGGGGTAAGCCCTGAATTTTGGGGATGACCCCCCATGTTGAAAGGGTGAGAAGGAGCCCTGTTCGGTGCATGAAGACAGCTTCCATTACGTGAATGGACGACATAGCACCAAATCTTGCACCTAAGAAAGCCTGGAATGATGATTCTCTGTAAGAACAACAAACAAGGGTTCCAACAATGGTTTCCACTTGGGGATACTGAATTTTGAGGAATGGCATGGAATGACACCCCATGTTGAAAGGGTTCTCCGAATCACTTTCCACCTGCCTAGGGTCTTCATGACCCCAAGAAAAAGGGGGCATGGCCCCTTGGTTTTGGGTAATGACCCCCATTTATTTTTGGCAGGGTCGTGGAGACTTTCTGTCCATACGGGCTGGCCGCAAAAAGAAAGGCCATATGTTGTCAACATGTTGTTTAAACGTACTGCGTACTGGGCGTGCGCCAAATACGGCCACCCGACACAAAACACCGCATTGCGGGGGCGAAGCTTGCGATTCAGTTGTTTCTTGGTATTCGGTTGTTTCCGATTGGAATTGGCTGAGCCTTCACTCTTGAGGATTTCGCTAAAAGAGGATCTCACATGTTGTTGGAACGGCAATTTGAGACGCATTGTTCTAATCTACAATTTTCTCCCGAATATGTCTTAGTTCCCCTTTTCGGTTTTCAAGCTCATCTATCACTACTGCATTTGTTCCAGGGGGCTTAATGGACATCATCAGCATCGCCACCATGTTTTGCTGCAGCCATAGCTCGTTCATGGACCTCCACGGTGCCAAGGAGGGCCATCAAAGCAAGTTCTTACGGCCGGGTTGGAGATGGCTGATTTTGGCTGGAAAAAATCATTTCAGTCCCCCGAGTCTGCTGCGATTCGTCTCCAAATCACCTGCTTGCCCCGAGAGGAAACTCCATTAGAGGGTCCGGAAATATGCATTGGAGGGGTGACCCTTAGGGTGGGACAACTTTGCTGAAAGCGCCTGAGCCCAAGCCTAGGCCGAAGCTCGTGACGTCAGCTTCACCGAAAGCAAAGCCTCCGGCGAAGGATGGCGACGCCAAGGTGCCGGCAGCCTTCCGGGGGAAGGAGAAGGCTGGGGCGGGGCGTCCGGCTTGGCCTAGCTTCCATTTGCGTTCTGACACGTCGAGTCACGTTGGGCTTTGACAATTGTAGTCAGATACTTTGGGCAGAAACTACCTTAATATTCCAGGATCCTGAAAAAGCAGGCCTTTGGCTGATGTTTTTTTCAACCAAGAGCAAAATCAAGAAGGACCCTATTTTTGCGGGCCCCAAGGGAAGACCAAGGCTACTTTGGGCTTTGAGTCACGTGACAGTTTTCAGACTTTGGAGCCCAAACCTCGGTGAGGCTCGTGTGCCTGCGGCCTTCCGGGCGAAGGAAAAGGCGGGAAGCAAAAAATTTGGGGAGGCTCCCAGGTTTCGTGGCTGGGGGAAAGGTGGGTGGGGGGAAATGTTAGTTCCCCCCTGGTTTGCAGGGGAATCACCCTTCCCTAAGGATCGCCCCTCCAATGCACACCCCCGGACCCAATAGAGAAACCCGACCAATTCCTCAACCAGTTTTGAGGGCAGCAAAAAGCCATCGAGACCCTCAGGGTTGGACATTATTATTATTTTTTGTTTGGCGACGAGAAAGCCAACGAATGGGAAAAGGGCCAGCCGCCAACTCGCGGCTCCAAAGACGTGGGAGGCCAAGACTTTAGGTCGTCTCAGCTCGGCCCAAAGCGAGTCGACCGGCGACCGGATCTGCTGTTTGGTTTCGGCAATTTGGCCCACAGTGTTCCATTTGCTGATGAATATGTTTGTATATTTCCCTCTTGGTTTTAACGGGAATCGAATTCACTACTGGATTGTTTCTCTTTTTTCCAGGGGGCGAAGAGGCAAATGAGAGTAGTCGAGAAACCCCAACTGGTGATCACCTTGCATTTCCAGGTCCAAGCCGGGCAAGTGAGCATACCCCCCAAAACCCTCTCCATATTTTCGGCCAATAGGTGTGGTACTGTGGACGAAAACCATTTCGCACCTGGAAACCATGCGAAACCATTGGTTAGAAATTACAGGGGAATCGACTCAAATCTCAGCTAATGCATCTTTTGCATCACTAATGCCTGTGAGGATTAATATCGCTGTAGCATATCTGCACTGAAAGGATCCGCACGTTTTCTTGAATTGTCACCCTTCTTGTTGGTGTTAGTTTGGCCACCAAGCGGAAACCACTCAAATTGGGCGGGTTCATTCGGATTTGGAGACACGCCCTTGGTTCGGGGGGCTTCGCCCACCGTGCCCAGCGAGGCCCGACTCTGGGCGGAGGAGTCTTTGCGCGTGGCCACGCCCAAGGCGAGGCTAGATGCTTCTTTCTGTATTCAAAGGATCTCAGTTTGCAAGCCCCATGGTAGATTTGGTGCATTTTGCTTGGATGTTAGGACTTTTAACTTTTTGCCAACTACTCGGTTTACCATTAAGCCACTGAAAGTGAAACTTTTCGCGGGGGAGCAGAAAGCAACCGAGGTAGCCCACCAGCTATTCTTCATGTTTTGTTTCGTTTTGTTTGTTCCTCCCCCGGCTGGCAAGGTTACCTAGTTACGATCCCAGCTTCGATCCCAGTCACTACCTACTATATGGATAAATGGGTCCGCTGGTTGTAATTTTGAAGGAAACCTCTCGAACCTTACTGATGGACCTGAATACCAATGTAAATGATGTCCACCAAAAGGTCTCTATAGTTAAATTTCACACACATTTTGACGTGTTTGGCCTAACTCTAGTTGGTGCTTTGGATTCGTGGCTTGGGGGTTTGCACCCGTTCTTGAAGAAGGCAAATGGAAACCAGCCCAAAGCCGCCAATGAGGGGGAAGCTCGCTAATAGACAGCCTGTTAAAACTCATTTAGAAAAGCACCATTGGCAAGCTTGGGGGGCAAGACTGCAATAACGTAACTTGTGCAACTTCTCACCTGGCCCCTAATGGGTGGGTTCGGGAATGCTCAACTAAGGGCGGAAAGACAATTCCGCTGGATTGATTAAACTCGATTGGCTCATAAACGTTGACCCCGGATTAATAAACCCCAGTTTACAAATATGGGCGTGTTGCCCTGCAAAAGTGATGAATCCCCACATTTCACCAAGACAATCCTCCCTATTTAATAACCTTCTTAGATAGCCAAGTTGCTTCTTTGTTCAGTCACTCTTGCTGGTTTTGGGGTAAAGTGCATGGAAAAAAGCAGCAGCTGGCGCTCCAGGTGAGGTTGAATAATTTGGGATCCACATTCTCACAGAGGACACTCGCACGCTTCCCTTCCCATAAACCCGCAGGCCGCCACGAGCGCGGCGGCGTCCGTCGACGCGGCGTTTGTCGACGCGGACGCCGGCGCCGAGCTCCCCGTGAAGTTCGAGCGCAAGCGCCCGGCGCCGCGCGTCTTTGTCGCATGTTGCCAAGGGATGTTAGGACTTTAACTTTTTGCCAACTCATGGGTTTTCCATTGAACCACTAAAAGTTAGACTCTTAGTAGGGGAGCAGAAAGCAACCGAGGCGTGGTGCCGCCGCCGCGCCGGAAATGGGCGCGGCTGGCGCCGGAGGCGACGGAGGCGGCTTTGTCCCGGGCGAGGGCAGACGAAGCGCCCAGTTTCAAAGGTATCAAACAAAACAAGGCAGACCGCCCAGACCGCCCAGACCGCATGGTTTCCCACTTTTGGGCGCTTTTGGGGTTCCTTGGTGTTTTGTTTTCTCACTCCCTGAGTTCCTGGACTTGAGTCAATTTGTGGACGTGTTTTGGCCCACCCGCTCGATTGGAAGCGCGAAAACAGGATACCGCTCTCCGATCTTTTGGAACATGAAGGCCAGGGCAGCGATTGGTGATTTTGGCCAAGCTGGCGGCCTTTTGAACGGGGGGGGGGGGACATTTTCTTGCATTTTCTGAAATGAACAAATCCAGATTAGTCAACCCCAGTTTATTAATAGGGGGGTGCGGGCCCTCGTGATTCTCGTGATGATTCCCCATTAAACTCATGGACACCCCCTATTAGTAAACTGGGGTTGAATAATATGGGGGCAACATTAGGTTTTGATAGCTTCTGGTGTTCAAGGGGCTTCACTACTGGAAAACATGCTTCTCACTCCTATCTGGGGACGACTTCAGCAATTGGAGGTTTCCGTGTCGGCAGGAGCCCATCAGCCACCCAGAGACGGAAGATGCGCTGCAGGAGAGGTTGCACCAAAATATATTGAACAACTGCAGCTGCGCGATTGCCAAACAATGTCAATGCTTGATGAATGCTAAACTGAAAGAAGTCAGAAATACGTATAGAAACTTCTAAAAAATATGGGCAAGCTGTCATGTTCAGGGGTTTGGGCTCAGTGAGCAAGGTAATCAGGCGTCTCGCCCATTGCAGCAGACGCCAGTGAAGATCCATCAAGCGGTTTGTTGTGCACATGATCGCTGTCAAACATCAAGCTTTGATCGCAGGCCCAGATCAATTTGATGCATCCAAGGTTGTTCATTTTTCTTGCGTTGGTTGAGTTTGCCTCCCGTTTGAAGTTCAACGCACGTTAAGGTGGGGCCAGCTCTTTAGATCCGCCTAGGTGTTGGGAACCCTTAAAAGTCTATGCATGGTCCCGTAAAGGATACATGGGGACTAGCCGGAAGAGTATTACTCATCGTTGATCAAAAGGGATTTCTGGTATAAAGCAGGTGGATTTCGAATGTATTCTCTTCTGGCCGGACCCTAAACCCTAAGGCCCGAAACAACGCCACCGAAAAATTGATGCACAGGATGCGCAGTTTTTCGCATCCCAGCCCTCGAATTTCATCGGTTTCCCTTGGCGGGGAGCTGGACAACTCACTCCCCGAGTTCCATGAACTTTACACGTGGGAAGCACTAGTGCAAGCAAATTGCCGACCCGCTCAGCAAGAGAAAAAATATTCATGTACAGGCGGCATATTTACTTATATACCCTAAGGGTCTCGATGGTTTTTTGGGCCCTCAAAGCTGGTTCTTCTCAAGGGCCGCTGAGGGGTCGGAGTTCTCGATTGGAAGGTCCGGTGGTATGCATTGGAGTGGTCATGACAGGGCATTTGTATTTGTATATCCAGGGGCCCTCAAAATTCCCACTTAGATGCGCCTTCTGCCCTTGCCTGAGGAGGAATGGTGGCACCAGCAACAACAGCAGGCCGCGGATTTTCTGTGGCTAAAGAGGTAAGTTTGAATCTGAGGAGTAAAGCCCTTCAATCCTTAAGGCAAACAGACTGAAGCTTCTAGGGGCAACTTGGCTTTTTTTTTGCCAGGGAATCTTTTCGAAACAATTAGACACCCTCAGAAAACGGCTGCATGAACAACACGATGACAAAACACAACACTAGAATGCTCATTCAAAGTTTCAAACCCCAAAAAAAAGAGGCAAGACACTTCTTTTTTCCCCAAGGGAGATGGGGCTAACAAACGAGGCACAGACGCTTCCTTTTGCCGACAGGGAGATGGGGCTAACTTTGAACACTCCCTCCCATGGCTGGAAGCTGACAAGGGGGCGTTAAGACCAGAGTCTTGAAAGGGCCACAAGCGTCCACACAAATCATGGGGGACCTTGGATGCCTCCGAATGGGAAGCACCAGTTGAAAAGGTTGTTGCCACCTTCGCCACTTGGAAGTCCTTACTTGGCTGTGAGTCAAAAATGGGTATCCATTTTGGAACCCCAGTAAATGGAACCAATGACTAAAACCTGCAGTCCCCTGGTGCTTTAATTTGACCCATACCCAAATTGAAACGACCTTGTGGGTTGGTATTTACAGGGGCATCGAGTCATTCCAAAGTTTCTTAGGTGCGGACGGATGTCGTCCACCCCCAGCGGGTTCTTTTTTTTTTTGAACACGCCTTGAGAACAGAGGTTACTCTGAAGAATTCCGGGCGCTCGTCCTTTTTTGGGGATTCTTTTGGGCGGAAGATATCTGATTCCTTTGAGCGCTCCGAAGTTTTCAGCAACTCTTGGTGCAGGATTCATTGAGAACCACACCTGGAAGGAGCCAACTCGCCCCTTTCGAGAACTTTACCAGACAGAAGGAAACTGTACCACATTTGGAGACGCATTGTGCTTCCAACTGCCCATTGGCCGCGCGTGTGTCTCACGCGCGCAGGTGGCGGCGGAGTTTTTGTTCGCCGCAGTGCCGGAGGAGCAGGGCTGGCTTTTCAGAGTTGGTGTGAACAACCTGGCAGTTCCCAGACGTGCCCTTAGGTTTTGAGGTCAACATGTTACCCAGGTATCCCCAACCCCGGAACAGCCCAAACGGCCCAGAGCCACGCTTCAGCTGGGAAAGAAGGTCTTGGCCCAAACATGTGGGCATGTGTCATAGGCAGAGCAAAAGGATGGAGTTCCTTTTCTCACTCCCTGCGTTCCACTTCGGGACTTTAGTCGTTCTTTGGGGAATGGGCACCCGCCCCCCCCCCCCTTGCCGGGGTGTTTTCAAGGACAACCCTTGTTTTTCAGGGCAAACACTCCCCCTTTGTCAGTAGAGGCTTGGCATCATAATTACCCGGGTCTTGGGTGTTGGGGGTCAGGAGGAGATGGACTTGGCAGCACCAGTGGAGCCGCAGGAGTGGTCCTTCCAGGCCTCCGATTCGACGATTCGACTGGGGAGTGGGGAGAAGGCATCGCCAGGCGGAAGCGCCCTGCAGTGACGAGGATGGCCGAAGCGACATATTCATTTGCTTATATGAATATTTGTTCCCTACGGAATCTTTCACTACTGGAAATACATTGTCCAGAAAACACAAGCAACCATAAAGTTTAGCGTAAATCCAGAATGGGCGCTTGTGGGTTTTGAAATGGAAGTCCATTTCGTGTGATATCCTTGGAATTTAGTCGTCGCCAATCGAAGACATTGGTATGAACTCCCTTTGGTTTATTATAACTTATGTCACTTGTTGCTTGCTTGTCCAAAGAACACCTTTTGACCCTGTTTGGGTTCCCATTTTAAGTCATGGCCCCAAAAGGTGAACCTTTGATTCCTGAGTCCTTTGGGCAACTTGTTTTTTTTTGCCAATCCACTCGATCGAATTGGGCATCAGGTACATTCCGAGTCATGGGCGAAATGCTAGAATCGAACGGGGCTGCAAAAACTGTCGAAGCGCAGGAAGACCTGGGCTTAGACAAGAGCGATGAGGAGATGGTAAAGCAGGATCACGAGGACGTGAGCTGAATTCGATTCTCTTCCCTCCGAAAGATGCCAAAACAGATTTGATACGGAATGCCTGCTTTTTCGTACAGGGATTTCGCTTTAGGATCAACTACCAGTGTCCCAGTTGCAAACTCTTATAGTCGGTAACCCTTCGATCCGTGTTTTTTGGCTTTTGCATCAGGTGGCAAGCCCTTGGTGACCTCGAAAATAGATCCACCAGAGTGCCATTTGTTTTGTTCCCTGGGCAGTTCATCTCTCAATTCGTGACTCCCGTTTTTGTTGCGCTCTCTAGGAGGCCGAAAACGAGGAGATGGCTGAGGCTCCCGAAGAGTCCCTCGGTTGCATTGACTTCGAGAGCCACACGGAGCCTCAAAATGGTCATGAGTCATGAGTGCTGATGGCTACAATCCAAACGGGTGGTTTCCGTTTGTTTGACCGAGCCCAAAAGTGGTACCCTCCTGTCCACTAACATGGCACCCACCAGAGGGGCAATTTTAGCGGCCCTCTGTCAACTTCCAAGTTCCATGCTAGTGGATCGGAGGGTATCCTAGAGGCTGTTAGAATCATTGCAAGTGAATCGGCTGGAGCTGACCTTTCAGCTACAAAACTTTTTGGCAGAACTGTTTGTCTCCCCAAACGGTTTAACTTTCATTTCTGGGTCATTTGGGCACCCCAACCGAAATCGAGTTTCGGCTCGACTCGAACATCGAGTCAGTTTGTTGTTTCTCGCCCGTTTCGACTCGAACATGTTCGACTCGACTCGACTCGAAAACCGTCCCTTAGAGGTGTTTGCCGCCACGTGTCGTCCCGTTGTTTTGTGTTTCCACTTGTTTTTTTGGTTTCGATTTGACTCGAACAATATCACCTTTTTTCTGACCCGTTTCGACCCAAACAAAAATCGACTCCACTCCATCTTTTCCCGCGTTTTGTTTGTCTCTTTTTTCTTTTTTCGACTCGGCTCGAAAAAAATATCATCCGTTTTTGGCTCGAGGCCTTTCCCTAGGAGCCCCAAGACCTCATATATGAAGGCTTTCTGTTCGAGACCTGCGCTGGGAGGCACCTCTAGACAAGACCTTGAAAAATAAGGTCTCGGAATTAGATAGCTCAGAGAAGGCCAAGGCCTGAATATAAAGGCCTCAGGTTGAGGGATCCACTGGTAGGTCAGGTGCCCTCTCCCTGCCTGTGTTCAGAGCAAAGAATGAGATATGAGTATTTGTTGATCATGCAAAACCGCAAGATTGGCAAACCAGACTTTGTACTTTTCCCCATGAAGACAGCCAGGCTTGACACTAAACCACTTTCCAGACAAGTTTCCCACTGCAACACTGATTCGATGCCAGCCAAAGCAAAAACGAAGACAACAACATTTCCTGGGCTGAAGAATGGCTTTTCGATAGGAGCGCAGGCCAAAATTAAAGCGCGTTAAATGCGTTAAAATGACCCCCCCGAGG